ATAGCCAGCGTTTACCAAGTCAAATGAAAATAGCCACTATTTGCTGCAACAAGACCGGTCCAGCATAATATACTAGAGTTCGGTGCACCTGTGTATGAACTTCCAGCATATTATGCTGGAACTCCAACACACGGAAAGTTCCAGCATAATATACTGGAGATTCGAGCACTTGTGTATGAACTTCCAGCGTATTATACTGGACCGGTATACTTTGCTGGAACTCCAGTATATTATGTTGGAGTTCTAGTGTACTTATGCTGGAACTCCATCATATTATGCTCGAGTTCCAGCATACTTATCCTTGAACTCCAGTATAATATGCTGGAGTTCAAGTATACTTATGCTGGAATTCCAGCATAATATACTGGCGTATTTTTCGGGTTTTGAACAGTATTTTTGCTCAGATTTATCTTTATATGAAAAGTGGCTAAATTTTGATTACTTTTGAAACTTGGCTATTTTTGAATGACCACTTGTAAATCTGGCTATTTTTGAATTTATCCCTGTAAAATGGCCCAAATTCTAAATTTTGACTCAACGGCGGCTGCTCGCATGAGAGACAGACGTGTGTAGTCAGATAAATTTTTTTCTTTCTCCATTTAGAAAGCCGAAATAATTCGCCAGTTTCGATCCAGTCTACGCATAAATGTTTAAAATTAATAACAGTGTTATTTTGACAATTGTTTTTTTCTTTTTTTACATGAGGAAACGTATACGCTTGTAATCTGATTCTGTATTCTGTATTTTTCTTGTTCTCATTTTTCTTTGATCGGAAGCAAGGAATTTGATTCGATCAGAAAATTGAGATATGGATGGGAATAATTGGAGGGCTGCTCAGGCTCAAGCTCAAGCTCAAGGGGGTGGTGAAGGTGCTGCTGCTGCCGGACCTCCCACCGGAGCTATGGATTCCGGTGATTGGCGCACTCAACTTTTACCCGATTCTCGTCAAAGGATCGTCAACAAGATGTAAGTAATTTTCCTTTTTTCTAATTTTGCAGCTTGTACTATATTTTTATATGTCAATGATTTTAATTTTGAATTTAGGGTTCCTTTTTGTGAAAACTCAGTTCTGCAGGCGAATTGGGTATTCTTATTATTGGTAGTAGCGGAGCCAGAAATTCTAACAACGGGATTCAAAATACTTCAAAACTGCTATACTAGAGCTTCCCATATGTTAAGGGGATTCAACAGTTACAAAAATAATTGTTTTTTACCCTACTTGCACAGTGTAATTTCAGGACGACCCCTTCCTTACCTTTAGCTCCGCCCTGATTACTAGGTGGGCTACTACGAAGTTTATGCCATAGACTAGATATTACTCTATGATTTACATTTTGTTCTAAATATGGTGAAATGACAGGTTGCAGCACAAGTTATTGATTGGATTATAACTGATATTGTTAAACAGGTTTTAGGCTTTCACAACCAGAGTAGTCAAAAGTATATTGGAGCTTTAAGCAAAGCGCAATTTAAGCTTGGGCTTTAGTGAAGAAAAATGCCAATGAAGAAAAAATGAAAAGTAGAAACGTTGTGCAAGAAACTGTAACTATAAACACAAATAATAATTATTGGAAAAGAATGAAAAAACTGTAATTAAGCTATATATATGCGCTATAGTGACCTTAAAGACTGGTACCTTGAAACCTACACTAAAGCGCCAATTAAGCGCGCAAAGCACACAACCTGGGCTTCACCAAGCTTCAGGACCTAAGCGTGCTTCAAGCAAGCCTTTAACTACACTGTCAAATCAGGATGTAATGTAGCACACAACCTGGGCTTCACCTAGCTTCAGGGCCTAAGCGTGCTTCAAGCAAGCCTTTAACTACACTGTCACAGCAGGATGTAATGTCAAAATATTTTTATTTTTAAAAAACTTTTACCAGGATACTGCTATTTCAGAATTTTAAGCTGATTTTTTATTGATATGGCTGTATAGAATGGAGACCTTAAAGAGGCACCTTCCTGTCTCTGGGCAAGAAGGAGTTCAGGAGCTTAAGAAAATTGCAGTGAGGTTTGAGGAAAAGATCTATACGGCTGCTACAAGTCAGGTATGCAGTATAACCTTATTTCTAGTTGTTTGAACAAATGCAACTTGTTCTCCACGTTGTTGACGTTATTCTTGCTTGTGTTCATGGATTTATCTTTTCCAGTCATCTAGACACATTGTGTGCTTTTTTTAACTCAAATTTATTTAATGTTGCAGCAAGATTATCTGCGGAAAATATCTTTAAAGATGCTAACTATGGAGACCAAATCTCAAAATCCTATTAATAATTCTATGCAGCCCAATGCTGCAAGTAGTGGTCAGAATGCCCTTGGGCCAGGTAAGTGATGAAACATCATGTGCTGTATTTCACATATGCAAATCTTTTGTCTGAGAGGATGCTTTATATACCTAATTTACTTTGTTCCGCTGTTGAAATTTTTTGCTATGTCTAGCTACGAAGCGTACTGGAACTAATCTTTGAGTTATCTATAATATTTTAGGTGACTACTCTTCGTAAGTATTCTTTGTGCTCTAGGTCGGAGTCCTAGCCCCTTAAAGTGCTGCTTATTTACTTTCTGACTATTCGTCCTTTCTTAGCTATCCCCCCCCCCCAAAAAAGAAAGGAACAAAAGAAAAGCGGACCATTTACAGTACTACATACTGTTGTTTATTTGTGTAATAATAAGAACTTAATCAGAGTTCTCATGTAGTATTTTGGGATTAGTTTTTGCAAATCAAATGGCTCCTTTTTCTCGTATCTTAAACTGTAAAATACTTGCTAGCTTTTCTTGCTATGTTTGTTATTTAATTGAAAGCATCTTGACTGTTTTATTTTCATTTCTGTAGGATCCCACAGCATGCAGTCCCAAGTTAACAGCCAAGCACAGCAACTTCCTGTACCTATGGTGGCCAATCAAACTCAAACACGGCAACCACTGTTGCAGCAGAACATTCAGAACAACATGCCATCAACTGGGCTGCAAAATTCTGCAAGTTTGACTCCTGCACTTCCTCCTGTGAGCAATTTGACGCAGGCTACTATGCCAAATGTCATGGGCCAGAACGCAAATTTGCAGACCATGCAAAACATGCAAAATGTTGGTCAAAACTCAGTAGGAAATGCCATTGGGCAAGGCATGCCTTCCAATATGGTTGCTAATTCTCAGAGGCAAATGCAGGGGAGACAACAGGTTGTTTCTCAACAGCAACAGCAGCAGTCCCAGACATCACAGCAATATCTTTACCAGCAGCAGATGCATCATCAAATGATGAAGCAGAAATTTCAGCCAGGAAGCACGCAACAGTCCATGATGCAATCTCACATGCAACAGCAGCAGCAGCAGCAACAGCCGCAGGACCAGCAGCAACAACAACAACAACAACAGCAACAGCAACAAAACCTTCTACAGCCTACTCAGATACAATCTTCTCAGCAAACTATGATGCAACCTTCTTCAATGCAATCAACTTCTTTGTCCAACCTTCAGCAGAACCAACAGTCTACTGTTCAACAGTCAACTCAGTCTGTACTTCACCAACGATCACAATCAGTTATGAGACAGCAGCAGGCTCCCATGCTTCATCAACAGCAATCGGCAATGCTACAGCAACCAATTTTACCAGCCCAACAGCACCAGCAACAACAGCAACAGCAACAACAGCTGATTGCACAGCAGGCAAATGCTACAAATCTCCAGCAGAACCAACTGATAGGCCAACAAAACACAATGCCTGATGTGCAGCAGAGGATAGTGGGCCAACAGAACAACTATAGCAGTCTGCAGCAGCAGCAGTTACTTAATCAGCAAAACAATCTTCAAAATATGCATCAGCAGCAGTTGGGCTCTCAAAGTAATATTGCTGGGGTCCAGCAGCAACAGTTGACTGGAAGTCAACAACCTGGCAACTCTGGCGTGCCATCTAATCAGCACCCTATCCATATGTTGCAACAATCAAAAGTTCCTCTACAGCAACAAATGCTGCAGGGTGGTACAACCTTGTTACCAAGTCAAGGTCAACAATCTCAGTCGCAGCCAGCGCAACAGCAAATGATGTCTCAGAGTCAATCACAACCACCTTTGGGTTTGCAGCAACAGACAAATCAATTGCAAAGGGAAATGCAACAGAGGCTTCAAACATCAGGCCCCTTGCTTCAACAGCAGAATGTAATGGAACAGCAGAAGCAGCTATATCAATCACAAAGAGCCGCACCAGAAGCCTCATCAAGTAAGTATTTTTCTTAATAAAAGCTTTAGCAGTTTGGCATTCTTAGAAATTTTCCACCTCTCTTGCTTTCTATGTGAAGGATAATAGGACGTCTAACTATTTGAACCACTGGCTTACATTTTTCTTGGAAGTACACCAATTAATTTGGAATGATTAGTCTTGAGAGGTAGAGATGTGACCAAGTGTGATGTTGCTGTTTTGTTCAGCTTTAACCATACTATCATGGAAACTCAGAAAGAATGAGATCCCAAATGTGCAATTGGCTTTTAAGTAAAATATGGAAATCTTAGTTTATTTTTACATTTATGGAATATTAGTATTTTACCAAATACCCAGTCAGTAGGACCCTATACATTTAGATGGCAATTAGTATGTATGAATATAGTTTCTTAATCAGAAAAAAAATGTATGAATACTACCTGAAATATCTAACACTGTTTTTATCCCAAAATTTCCCTGAAATTTTAATGATGTAAGGAGTCAAGTCCGTCAAATTTTGGTTATCCTCAACCTTTGGTTTATTTGTAGCATCTTTAGATTCTACAGCTCAGACGGGAAATGCAAATGCAGCTGATTTGCAGGAGGAGGTTTACCAGAAGGTATTGTTTCCAATGGTATTTTTATTTGCACAAGATGTTGAAAACCGAGGATATTACTGATGACTTGCTGGAACATTTTGGCAATTGATGTGGATTTTGATAAACTAGCTGGTTATAACAATATAAGGAAAAGCTGAATGTTGTGAAATATTTCCTGTGACTGATGGAGTAATAAAGGAGATTTACCAAAATAAATGTTCAGCTAAATTTATAGTCATGCCCCGCCGTGCAAGGTACTTTTATGGTATTCCAATTCGTAGAGGAAATAGAAACTTGAACATGTTACCGATAACTTGTTAGAAATTGATATATTCTCAATTGAGAAGTGAAGTACAAAAACTACGTCTCAATTCCAAGTAAGTTGGGGCCGGCTATATAAATCATCAAGTTGGAGCCGGTTACATAAATCATCACTGTCCATGTCGCTTTATGTAAGCCAGTCTCAAATCCATTATAATTAAAAAAAATACTAGACGTTCTTTACATTTTCTACTAGCATAATTGAGAAGTGAACTAGAATTTGATAAATCAATTGGTTACCAAAAATTAGAAATAGATGAATGCTATGATCTATTATCTAAATTCATGAGGTAATATGTCCGTAAGTTCGGGTCAAGGTCCATGGTATGAACCCAATTTGCTTTATTTACTAAAAACTAAGAATTTTATTTCTAGTTTGAAGGGTAAACCTATTCATGGAAGAAGTGAAAATGTGAATACATGACGACAACAACAACAACAATAACAAACCCAGTGAGTTCTCACAAGTGGGATCTGGGGAGGGTAAGATGTATACAGCCTTATCCCTACCTTGGAAGGGCAGAGACTTCGGCTAAAGAAATGATGAAAAAGAAGTAATGGCAAAAAGTAGGAACAACAACAAGATAAAAAGAAGACCGAAGCCAAGATAGCAGTTAAACATTAGATAGTAATAGCAATCTATGAACAAAAAGATATCATACTAACACTAATGCTATCGAACTGAGGAAGACAATGTGAATACATGAAAAAGGGCAGCCCGGTGCACTAAGCTCCCACTATGCGCGGGGTCCGGGGAAGGGCTGGACCACAAGGGTCTATTATACGCAGCTTTACCTTGGAATTTCCGCAAGAGGCTGTTTCCACGGCTCAAACCGGTGACCTCCTGGTCACATGGCAACAACTTTACCAGTTACGCCAAGGTTCCCCTTCCAATTTGAATACATAGCTATAAGAAAATGTTTTTCTCTGCGAAAAGACATCCATTCATCTGTATTAGTTGGTATACATTTTTTATTTTTGGGGATAACAGAAATTCGTTGTTTTGAGTTGAGAAACTTGGTGGATAATGGGTCCGCCTCCCCAGCCTTTTCTACTTTAAGTACTCGACTTGGTTCACCAGCTAGGAATAAGTTGGTATACGTTGAGTTCTCCAAGAATAAACATATAACATTAACATGTTCTATATACTCTACACCATTTTTTTACTTGTCAAGCCGACTACATTGATGTTATTTCCACTGTTTACCCTCGTTTTGCTTCATTGATGATAAGGTGTAAAATGGAAAAATTAAAAAAATATGACGCCGACTACTAAACCAAATTATGTCTCCCAAACTATCTGTAAAAAAAAAAAAGCGACCCTATGTTTTCCTCCTGGCCGGGCTGGTCTATGATCACATCTTGGAAGTTGACCCTCGATATGAGCTGAAATGTGTACCAAGAAGCTAAAGGAAGCCAAACTTAGTTGCTTATTTTACCATTCACACGCTGATTCGTGCAAAATGGTCTTTAATCAGTTGTAGTCTTCTTCTTCTACTTCACTTTTAGCCTTTTTATCCAGAAGATTCTTTACTGCATAGAATAGTTGATCTAATTACCTGTCCACCTGGGAATGCAATCTGATATTTGCGTAATTGACTTGATGAAAATATTAATGCAGATCAAGTCTATGAGGGAGATGTATTTACCAGAGCTCAATGATCTATACCAGAAAATTGCTGCTAAAGTGCAGCAGGTATGTCATCAGCATTTTATTCCATTATTGTCATTTCTGAAGTATTTCTACTAGCTGTATGGTGCAGCATGCTTGATATACTATGTTTTGATATAATATGAGGTATTTATAGATCTCAATCAACTACTATTCAATCCCAACTTGTTGAGGTCGTCGGCTATACTAATTGTTTATACCCATTCTGTTATATTCAAGCTCATTTCATTCCAATCACATAGAAAATTATAGGTTCTCTAATTTCACACATATCCCACCAAATATACGAGTCTAAACAGAATGCAACATCTGATTTTAACCTTTATCTTTGCTACTTGAACCCTCCGTTAGATGTGATCATTTCTATTTTTTTGGAATAAAAAAAGCTTGTCAAATCTTGTGTGATCATACATCTATTTTAACATGTGCATTTCTACGATATTTGGCTTATGGATATGTTGGGCCTTAGAAGTCCAATATTCGTACGGCAATGCTAGTGTCAGAACTGTTTTATTGTGTAATGCCCCCTTAATGCTCATCCGTTTCTATTATTATAGTTTAATTTTGGTATTATGTTTTATCTATCATGTCTTTCTTGGAAAATAAGCACATATATTGGAATTGGCATTCACGGATTACCATGTTGCTTGATCTCATTTCTTATCATTCTTCTGGGACAATACTTGCAAAGCATGTATTTTCTCTTATTTCTACTTATCCTAAAACCATTGACCTTTAAGTGCTTTGTCATAGTTTGAAAAAAAATCGACTTCCTCACAAGTTTCATCAAATTCACAACATTTTTTGCGTATAGCATGCACCGTGGTACTGCATTTTGTATTCTATTGTTAGTTCGTCCATAACTAGGTAAACAGTACTGGTATCAGATTCATTTTATAAATCAACAGTTGTTGGAAACTCTCTATCTCTTTCCAAATTTTTACCCCTATTATTGCTCCTTCGTACGTATGTTTTATGGAATTTATATATTTGATACAAACTCCTTGCAATGCCCATAGGTAATCCTAGAAAATTATCTAACTGAGAATTGCTGCAGAAAGCTCAAAACTCTAAATTCTCATTTTTGCATCTTTAGTTCCTTTCCTGTCATCTTGAGAAACAGTACTTTCATAGTGGGAATGGTGCGGTTAATTCCTTTTCATTTCTTACATATGCATCATTTGTCTGTGTCAGCATTGTATACGATTGTGAAGTAGAGGGGGTGGTGGACACCATAAAAGGATTATGCGCACATATCTAGTCAGACACTGTGATGTAGATGCAATTTTGGTGTTAGTCTCTTTTCCTTTTGGGGAAGGGATAAGGGCCTCCGAATTCTTCGGGCATGGGCTTGATATATCTGAGTTTAAAAGCACTTAAGTCAACACTTTTTTGGAATGTGGGCAGCTGGCTAGCCAACTACGTTATTCGTCTCTTTAAGCCCTTTCTTAAGTTTTCACTCCTTTTTCTTGGCTGTGGGAGGTACTTAAAGCACTACTATTAAAAGTTAGCAATGGGCAAGAAGCATGGCTGTGACTAACTGATTTTTTTTTCTGATTTTAAGCATGATTCTCTTCCTCAGCGCCCTCAGACTGAGCAAATTGAAAAGCTCAAGGTGTTCAAGATGACGCTGGAACGTGTTGTGGTATTCTTGCGGCTTAACAAGCATGATATTCAACCTTCTCACAAGGAGAAACTGCTTCAGGTTGAGAAGCACATAAGTTTCTTTCTTAATTCCAATAGGCCGCGCAAACCTACTCCTCCATTGCAAGGGCAACTTCCTCAGCCTTCCATGCAGCTTCAGCAACCACAATCTCTTGATGGCCAAGGTAATCCACCTATGCAACCCGTACAGGGTTCCATGGCAGCAATGCAGCAGAATAATATCACCAACTTGCAGCATAATTCTTTATCTGGTGTATCAACAATTTCCAACTCTCAGCAACACATGGTAAATACAGTACAGTCTGGTTCCACTGTGGATTTGGGACAGGGTAATTCATTGAACTCACTGCAGCAGGTGGCTACTGGCTCTTTACAACAGAATCCTGTTAACAGTCCTCAACAGGTAAACATAAGCTCATTAAATTCACAAAGTGGAACAAACCCTGTACAGGCAAACCTTGGTTCCCTACAGCCAAACTCAAACGTCCTACAGCAGTCACTTCCTAAACAGCACGAGCAGCAAATGTTGCAGAACCAGCAATTAAGACAGCAGTACCACCAGCGGCAGATGCAGCATCAAATTTATCATAGACAGCAGTTCATGCAACAGCAGCAAGCAAAGCAACAGCAGACCGCACAATTGCCAGCCCACCAGATGTCACAGCTTCACCAGATGAATGATGCTAATGACCTAAAGATGAGGCAGCAAATGGGTCTGAAACCGGGAGTTTTACAGCAACAGCAGTCAGTTGGCCAGCGTGTCGGATCTCATCATCCACAATTGAAGCCAGGGATCTCTTCACCTCAAATACATCAGGCACTATCTCCTCAGGTTACCCAACATCCTTCTCCGCAAATTGACCAACAGAATATGTTGGCATCTCTTACCAAAAATGGGACTCCTCTCCAATCCACAAGCTCACCATTTGTTGTCCCATCTCCTTCAACTCCCTTGGCTCCATCTCCAATGCCAGGGGATTCGGAAAAAGTTAGTACTGGCCTTGCATTACATACAACGGCTGGAAATATAATGCATCAGCAAGCTACGGTTGCTTCTGCACCTGCCCAATCCCTTGCAATTGGTACTCCTGGGATATCAGCCTCGCCTTTGCTTGCTGAGTTTACTAGTCTGGATGGTACACATGCGAATGTCTCAGCCGCTGTTTCTGGCAAGTCAAGTGTTGAACAACCATTGGAGCGCTTGATGAAAGTGGTTCGTATAATACCATTCTACTTAATTTATATTTTCAGCGATCTCAATAAATCTGTCTTCGTGCCTTTCCTATTTTTGACATATTTATTATATTCAGGTTAAAAACATGTCCCCCAAAGCATTGAATTCGTCAGTTAGTGACATCAGTTCAGTTGTCAGTATGATTGACAGAATAGCAGGATCTGCACCAGGAAATGGATCAAGAGCAGCTGTTGGCGAAGATTTGGTTGCCATGACCAAATGTCGTCTCCAAGCGAGAAATTACTTTACACAGGATGGACCTACAGGAACAAAGAAAATGAAGCGATACACAACTTCCAATGTTGTTTCATCAAGCGGCAGTGTAAATGATAGTTTCTGGCAGTTGAATTGTTCAGAAGCATCTGAATTAGAGTCAACAGCAACATCCAGTGTCAAAAGACCTAGACTTGAGGTAATATTCTGCTGCTTACTTACAGGAAAGAAGTCCAAAAGTTCAGATCCGAACATGAGACCCCATGGTTGATTATTTTGGATCTTAATAGAAAGGGGTCCATTCGGGTGCACTTTAAGAGTTAAAATAAATCTGGTCATTGGCCATGGCCAAAGAGAGACTAGAATGAAACAATTGCAATACAGTGGAATAGTTCCTGAAGTCTCAGCTTGCACGCAAAGTGAAAGTCAATTCGAAGTTCCTTTTAATTATCATTCCATGTGCCTACTCTTTCCTTTAATTGGTTATACTGCTGCTACTGTAAATTTGACCCGAACTACCACTTCTAAGTCTGTTCTGGAAACTGTGATAACCAGGGTAGAATAATGTGGGTGTAAATCAAACATGCTTTATGTAGACGGGACATGAGCTTTACTCCTCTAGTGCGTTTGCAGCTGGTGAGTATATCTAAATGATCTGAACCAACTATAGGATGGCTGTATAGATCTAAATGAACGCAGTACATTGAATGCTGTCAGAAACCTGAGGCTTTCAGCTGGCTTGCACGGTGTGACTAATGTTGGTGTGTCTTTGGACCAGACTGTCGAGTTCCTGCTGCTTTAACTTACGATATCACAACATCTAATCCAATCTCTAGCACAAACTTTTCAACCCTACTGTGCCACAGGATAAAAATTTGTATGCAAATTAAAATATGCCTTCTATCTATATGATTGCAACATTATCCCATCTGTAGCAACTAGCGTGTGAATATATTCTAGTGTTGAACTAAGTCTGATTTGGAAGTTGTCTTCAGATGTCTAGTCACTGCCTATTTACGAACTATTTTGACTTGAATCCCCAAATGCACTAGGCTCTCTGGAGTTTGGATAGGTGGAATGCTTTAGATCCTCTCATTTCTGTATTGGGTTTCTTTATGCTATAATGTGATTGACTTAAACCCCGCCTAATCATTTGATAGAGTTACTTGATTCTCAGATGAGTAAATTTGTTCAACAGAAAAACAAAAATACAAATTGAGAACATTCCAAGCATTGGCAGAATACAGGACAACAGGTATTATACGTTATAAGACGGGAGAATATGAAACAGCTTTGATTCCATGCTAGCTTGTGAACCCAACATGTGGAATGGTGTTTTTATTCCTTAAAGTATGTGATCTCTTTGCATATACAGGAAAATGTGTTAGTTTTTGTTATTTCGCTCGCCTCTGGTTTGCTTTTCATCTATCGTTATTGATGGTAGGACATCCAATATCTGATGTAAGATACATTTATTTTTAGAATGGTAACAGTCGTATAAAATATCCAGCATAAGGTCATAATAAACTTTTTTTATCACAAATAATTTTTTCAGATGCTGATTTTCTTGACTTTGCATTCATATTGATGTGTTGATCTTTGACAAGAAAACTGCTTTACTGTCAATTTTTGGGTTTTGTACCTACAGTGTACTAACAATAATTAGTAATCTATTGCAGGTTAATCATGCACTGGTTGAAGAGATACAGAATATCAATCGGCAGCTTATCGATACTGTTGTAGAAATTAGTGACGAAGGTGTTGATCCAAGTGCAGTTGCTGCTGCAACAGAGGGTGGTGAAGGCACTACTGTGAAGTGTTCCTTCACTGCCGTTGCGTTGAGTCCAAACTTAAAGTCACAGTATGCTTCTGCACAGATGGTGAGATTTTCTTATACTGAGCTTCAGTCATCAACTCTATAACATTTTTTGTTTCTATAATTGATTGATGGTCGTTTAATTCTGTGCAGTCTCCAATTCAGCCGTTGAGATTGCTCGTTCCAGCTAATTATCCAAATTGCTCTCCAGTTTTGTTGGACAAGTTTCCAGTTGAAGTAAGGTGAGGAAAAATTTGGCAGTCTTCTTGATTTAGTACCAAAAAGAGATGAGCCAAGACAGAGAAAGGAAAGGAGATAATTGAAAAGGGGAATTATAACATATAAGTCAATAAAGCATCGATAGATCTGATTTTATGACATGTTCATTATACCTTGTTGATTTGTGAAAGGTTGTAAGATGATGAACAAAAGGTCCTTGTGATTAATCATTTAGTTGAATTCTCTAATGGTCAATCAGGGGCTAGTAGTAACAGGGTTCCATTAAGCTATGTCAGTTAATTTTTCTCCCTAGAAACAAAAGAACAGGGTTTAATAGAAAACTAAAAGAAGAGAGGGATGACAGAGTAATTACTAGGAGAAAAAAAAATGATGTTGGGGCCATGCTGATACTCGAATGGAATACCATAGTTTTGGAAAATATACTGACCACGAGATACGAGATTTTAGAGCACCCTACGTTGGGAAACCATAAAAGATATTGTACATCTGCCTTTTGATCTGCGTTAAGATTATCAAATAAGTTTTGAAGATCACCCTTTGTCTAGTCTTATATTCTCCACTTTAACTCGTAAAGTGAATCCTTTTAAAAACTGGGTTTTTACCTATTTTTGCTGCAGTAAGGAGTATGAAGACCTATCCATGAAGGCCAAATCAAGATTTAGTGCCTCTTTGCGAAGTCTTTCACAGCCAATGACTTTAAAAGACATAGCAAGGACTTGGGATGTTTGTGCTCGCGCTGTAATTTCTGAATATGCACAACAAAGTGGTGGTGGGACCTTCAGCTCAAAGTATGGGTCTTGGGAGAATTGTTTGAGTGCAGCATGATCAAACATCAATCTCTGAGATTGTCTTCATCTCTGGCTTTGCTCTCCTGCTGTCTTGATCCACCCTTTGTCTTTGCTCTTTCTGCGGGTCCCTTTTACTGGCTGCATATCGGCATGTTGAACTGAATGCCTAAAATCCTCTGTTTATGCTGGTTGTTGCTGAATAAATTTTTGCTCTCCATCGAGTTGTTTATAATCATGTACGAAGTTTGCCTGTTGAGTTGTTTGTTGTTTACTTAAAACTGGCAATTCTGTGCAGTGTATTTCTGAACTGTGAATGAAAAGTTTTTAAATTATTAAAGTGTCTGATGGCTCGTTTGGGGGCGGGGTGGGTCTTGACCCAATTGGAAGGACATGGGGTCCATAACTCATCTAGTAGTTGTAGGCCTAAGGTCTTTGTTCATTCATTAGAAAAGGACTAAAACTGCCCCTAGATTATTGAAGTTGGTACAGTAATACCCTTTGTCCACCTATTTTGTAAAAATTACTCTTAACGTTTTATTTACGGCTCAAGACTATCCTTACGACTAACAACCCTGTTCGGTTAAAAGAAAAGCTTTAATTAATTTGTACATATCATCGTCCCAGGCCTAACTTAAAACCCACCCAAATTAAAATATACCCACCCGTATGTAAAACCCATATCCAAAAAAGTTACTCTTCTTTTTTCTTCTCCTTCTCAAAGCGTCGTCCTCTTCTCAAAAAATGCATCACCTTATCAATC